TTCCAGGCCGACTGAGATCAGTAAATTGCGAACATTAGACCGGGTGGAATTATCTCAGAGACTTGAGCTAGGCCGGCATCGGTCGGATGTGATACTTTAGCTCCACCTGAAGTAAACAAAACCCCAGTCAGCTCTAATACGGGACCGGTTTTACAGGTTTTTACAGGTGGAGCCAGGGAACGTTCAGGCGACGAGGTCAAGTAGTTGTATACAAAATAAAAGATATTGCGAATGCGCGGCTGTACTTTAAATGGTTGAGAAATAGTTGCGCTAACGTCCAACCCTAACTATAACCCCTAATCCTAGAACCTAACCCCCAACCCTAACCCATAACCATAACCCCTAACTTTAACCCTTAATCCCAACCCCAACAGTATTGTGTCCATCAGGTGGGGCTACCAAACCACATCTTACCCTGGCATCCTGAGAGTTCGATCGTTTTTTCTGCACTGTCCGAGCCGGTCAGCAGACTGGAGTGGGGAATGGGCGCGGTGGCTGTCATGGTCGACTGACCATGACTGCGCGCGCCACGGCAAGAACTGGCCCCCCATACACACAAAACTAGGATTTCACACAACGGGGGTTGAACGGCGTGTCTCTCACTTGCGTGAGAGTGCCGTGGAAGGTGCGGTTTCAGCCCGTTCCCAGCCCACCAGTTCGCCACTCCCCACAACACACACACACACACACACAACGCGACGAACTGCGTGAACAGAGAGCGGGCATCAATCAGCAACCTTCCTATCCACGACGCTTGACGTGTCGGGATAGTCTCGGACTCAAGTCACCCGTGCAGCCGAAGCCGCATGGGGACCGAGTCGAGATGCGGACTTCCCACTTGCGTGGGAGGTGGCAGTTGGGTGCATGAGGTGTGTGAGTGTTGATTTCTCGTGGGGTGATGGTGGTGGTGGAGGAGGTAGGGAGTGAGTGAATGTGTGGTGTGGCCGAATAGGCTCATGCGATGCCTGAAAGTGCGAGGGCAGTGTGGGCAGTTGAGACGAGCTTGGTGGGTATAGGTTGGTGCTCCAGGCACTGGTTCGCCAGTCTCTGTGCGATGGATTCGCAAGTGACCGACCAGGCCGATACGTGAGGTGAATGTGCGTGGACAGTGTGGGCATGAGAAGTCGGCGGTGTCAGTGTCAGCTACAGAGGAGGCGGTGGTGGTGGTGGTGGTGTCGCGGACGGATGGAACGAGAGTGGGGGTGTGC